AATATAGTATTTAGACCAGGTCGGGTCAGGTCAGGTCAGGTCAACCAGTAGGCGTCGTGACGGGTATTCGTAGTACGTGTCAACCGCCTCTGACAGCTTCGTAACATGTTACGAAGGCACCAAAACTACTTCGTAAATGTTCAAATGGTTGCTAAATTCGAATTCAGCTCCAAAAACTAGCCTAGAAACATGTAAAACTCGAATAAGTGAACCGAGGTCACCCGAGGTCACCAAAGGTCAATGACCTGACCTGACCTTCAGGTGACCTTGACACCCACCCTAATGCATGGGAGCAACATCAAATCACATGTTTGAACGTTTGAAACCACGAAAAGCTTGCAAACGCACGGCTAATGCGAGCCGACGTACGCCGAATCGCGATTCCGGCCAAACATGGTCTCGGAAAAGAGGTCACAGGTCAAAGGTCATTTGGGTCAGGGTCATGAAATTTTCAGGGTAGGTGTAAAATTGTTCAATGCGAGGGTACTGAAAGTTTCGTCGCGATCGGCCGCTTTTTACGCGAGTTATTCGCGAAAAACCATGGGGGGGGTCCATCCGACCCCCCCCCCTCTACACATGCGAGGGTTAAAACACAACCCCTGAATCACACTGGATAAGAACAAACAAACCAGATATGACACGGGTAGCCACGGAGCTCACAAACGAGAATCACAGCTATAACACGAATAACTAACGTACATACAACGGCGGCCGGCCATGCACTTGTCAACACGTTTCAGCATTGCATTTCGCTAATCAAAGCATTTACCGCATCACTCAAACCTGTGTAATTCTTAAAACTGTGTACCACTTAAAACTGACTTTTGTGAGTCAAACTGCCGAACCGTTAGACAGAAGTGGCAGCAGTGCGGTTGCACTTCGCATGGGTACGCATGTGTTTGGTGAGGTGTGACCGGTTAGTGAACCGGGCCTGGCAGTGTGAGCAGTCGCACGGCCGCTCCCCCGTGTGATTCAGCAAAAGCATGTGCGTATTGAGGTGTGACTGTTGAGCGAACCGTGCCGTGCAGATGGAGCAGCCGTACGGCCGCTCCCCCGTGTGAGTACGCATGTGTAAGGTGAGACTTGCCCCTTGAGTGAACCGTGCCTTGCAGATGGAGCAGCCGTACGGCCGCTCCCCAGTGTGGGTCCGCATGTGTGCCTTGAGGTGTCCCCGTTCAGCGAACCGTACCGTGCAGATGGAGCAGTCGTATGACCGCTTCCTTGTATGGGTACTAGTGATGTCAATTACAGAAAATCAGGATACCGATACCAAACCAAATGGTAAATACCAACCAAAACCATAGGAAAATACCGAAACTAAACCAACTTGGGAATAACAGGAAAATGCCGACTTTTTACCAAATTCACAGCCTCTTATACATTAGCGAAGATTTATAATATCAACAAAATACCAAAAACATTAGGTTTGAAACAACAATTACCAAGTTCGTATCGGTATACCAGAAGGTCTATCCGATTGACATATCTAATGGGTACGCATGTGTTTGATGAGATTTCCCCGTTCAGCGAACCGGGCCTGGCACCGACAGCAACTGTACGGCCGCTCCCGCGTGTGGGACCGCATGTGTTTGTTTAGGCTTGACCGTTGAGTGAACCGTGCAGTACAGATGGAGCAGCCGTGCGGCCGCTCCCCAGTGTGGGTCCGACTCCGCATGTGTACGGTGAGGTGTGACCGTTGAGTAAACCGTGCCGTGCAAAAGGAGCAGCCGTATGGCCGCTCCCCAGTGTGAGTCCGCATGTGTCTGTTGAGGTGTGACCGGTCAGAGAACCGTGCCTTGCAGATGGAGCAGCCGAACGGCCGTTCCCCTGTGTGTGTTCTGCGGTGGTTTTTCATACAGTCGGACCTGTCGGTCTTGTATTGACACAACTCGCACTTGAATCTGCCGTTTCTGTCTTTATGACCGTGACTTGTCTTCACGTGTCCGTCCAGATAATGTTGTCCCAGACATCGGAAGTCGCAGTGGGGACACCGAAGTGTAAAGCCAATACCTGTAAAACACATTTAGAGATTGAGAGAGATCGAAAATGTTTCTGTCCAGCTATGTACAACATCAGGGTAAAAAGATTGCATTCAAAATTAACAGTGAAGGACATGCATCGCTCCCTTATTGCCAGTGAAGTAGGATTAGGGCCCAGTTGTCCCATTTGGGGCTGGCCGGAGAAATTCGAGAGCCAGTAGCCACTCAGCGCGGTGGTCGATGCCTGACATGCGGTCACGACGAAGGGAGAGGTCGAGGAGCGGTGATGGATTGTGCGGTCACCAGCCGGTAACGTTGCGACGGCAATAGACAAGTAATGGACAAGATCGGTTGGCTGACACAGATGAAAATCGAACGTCCATGGATGGTGCAAGACCCACGGTTTTTATGCAACTCGGAAAGACATGAACTGATACGGATGGATAATAAATTGCGCCCTTATACGATCGCACTTATTATCTCAGCTGCACAGGTTGTAACGAAATTATCCGGACATCTTTCTTCCCGCTGGAATTGAAAAGCCAAACAATCTGATGGCTTTCCTTGTAAATGACGATTGAGCCACACCTCATAAGCACACAGTTTAGAGTGCCCTGGAGCCTTTCAACCACTGGGTTCTCCAGCACACAGGGTTTGATGTCGACCGACGCCGTCTTGACCTGTGCCTACAGTTGGGCGGTGCTGGTGACGGTGTCTCCTGATTCACCTCCTGTTGGGCAGCAGTGCTTATAAGTTTTCGATGGGAATGGGATCGGGGCTATTCCCAAGTCATAGCCCGTCAGCCCAGAAAGGTAAGAGGCTCCCTCAGCATCACTTTTCATTTTCTAGGGACTTTGAGGTGGCGCGCCTTCCCGCATGAAGTCAGCGTGACTTGAACCAGACATCAGTGCGCTTTCAGAAACCGAGTCTGGGTGTGCCGTCCGTTTGAGCGCCTCCAACCATTCGTTGGCCGTGAGGCTGCTCCGGTAAGTGCAGTGGTTTTCTGTGACACCACGTGCTATTGGAACATCGCGCGGCAGCTAAACATGCACCAGACGGATATTGGCCGGATGTTTGACGCTGTTGACGGTCGGCACGTTAGAACTGCTCTCGACGAGGAGCTCTAGAGGTCACTCGAGGTCAGGTCATCGGGTCACGTAAAGTGACCTTACTTCCTTTGAAGCCTCAATGCCTGTCATAGCTACAGAGTGATCGATCGCATTGAAACTTTCAGCTATTGATGACACCAACAATTTGTGCAAAATGTATATCTTGGAATTTTAATAACGGTCAGGTAAGGTCAGTTCAATATTGTGATCTCTCCAATATGAGTCAATGGGAGAAAATTGGAAGGTAAAGGCCTGGCTACACTATGCGTTTTCTGCGTGCGTTTTTTGCGTGTTTGCGTGATTTGCGTAATATCGTTCTAGAAGAAAGCTATATTTAATAAAACTTTTACATAAGTTATGTATAAAAGGTAATGCAGTTCTTATATTAGCTAAAATTGAATATGAAAAAACAGTACAAAAACGTAATGTCGTTTTTTACTAGCACGATATCACGCAAAACACGCAAACACGCAAAAAACGCACGCAGAAAACGCATAGTGTAGCCAGGCCTTAACTGCTTTAAACGAACGTCATTTTAAACACTTTAAAACAACGAATTACAAGTAAAAAAGACACAAAGGACCGGAAATTGGCACCCGCGACCAGACATGTGCATGGATCCGAGAAAATGGATCTGGGATCTGATCCCACGGATCCTGATCTCGGATCCGTCGGGATCATAGATCCAGCTCTTTAATTTATCGAGAGACCCGTAGGGATCATAGATCTGAGTCTAGTATTTTTGCTTGAGATCCAGTGGGATCATAGGTCCTCATTTATTTTTGGTCAACACAGAAATCCCAAAAGATCACTCGTTGCAACTCACAAACGCTCTTATTTAGTGCTTTTATGTGATAACACGTCATAATCCATAGTTTTATGGCACTTATTGACATAGAAACACTTGGAAACCTGGTTTCGAATGTTGTTCATGGTGGGATCCACTCAGATCATAGATCCATGCTTTTGGTTTATCGTCAGATCCTGTGAGATCATAGATCCAGGATAAAATTTTCACGCCGGATTCGGTGGGATCATAGATCCAAACCTGTAATGTGCCTCGAGATCCACTGAGATCATAGATCCATCACTCGGATCCATGCACATGTCTGCCCGCGACCCATCCTTATGTCCCCGAGGTTATCTTAGGTCAACATGTGCCGAAAATGTGCATGTAGTGGTGTGCTAAAAATAGCAGCCCTCCACGAAGCCGTTTTTTGATATACGAGTATACCTATGCCAAAAAAAAAAAAAACAGGACGGGGGTCAAAACACCCCTCCGACCCAGCGAGGGCTAAATGTTCAAATATATGCTACTGAACAATATGTTAAAGTTTCTTTCGGGAACCATTGACCAAAACCAGAGGCAGACCGCCTCACCTTCAAGCGCAAGGATTAGATCGCAAACCGAAATGTCAGTTCAACAGACCAAACCCATGTAGTTTGGTAAATATACATCAAGCCTACATACCTACATTAGACCAGCTTCAACTGAACGGACCACCCGTTCCGTCGTTTCCATCCTCAGGACAGTCAAATCCTTCTCCACGCCTCAAACCCCCTGCTCCGGGCTGGACGGGCAATTATAACCCATACGGGAATGGCTCCACTGGAACTAGCCCGTAGCCGGGTGCAGTGAGTGCCAGTGGGCTACGCGGCCTGTCCAACCGGACGGGTTCAGCCCAGGTGACTCACTGGGGTGCCTGTCCAGACCAATGCCTTCCCTAATCCCTATCATCCTTCCGGCTCTGAAATGGTCTTATAGGACAGAAAGGGCCGAACCCAACAAAACAAACAAAAATGAACGGACCGGACAAGAGCATAGTCAAGAGTGTCGGTAGGAAAGTAAATTTATCTCCAGGATCCTTTCGATTGACACCGTAGCCCTCGGAACCGCTAACGATGAACTGACCTGAAGATGACGGTCCGGCCGGAGAGGAAGTCACAGACTGCCCAGACGTCTCCGAGTGGACGGTCAGCTCCCGGGCCGAGTCGTCTCCGTAGTACACCAGCAGCTCAGAGCCCCGCGGAAGGGGCTTTGACGTCCTGCATAGGTCGATGAATATATCACAATTGGTCATGACAGGACCTTTATCAAGTCAATACAGCAATGGTCATCAATAACTTAGATGAATCTATGAGAAAATTTACAGGTACCATAAGGCAAACTGCACACAAAATATTACACGCAGGTTGATAGGACAGATCCGTGGATTTCAAGACAACAACACACCTGAAGTATACCTGGCCCCGGTACTGGAAGGCCACTAGGTTTTGTTCTTCCTCGGAGCGGGCTCAGTTGACCCTTCTGAGCCAGTTGCTGCAGCTCGGGTCTTCGGCATTCACCGAGTGATGTACCCGGTCACCCTTCTTGATCTGAGGTACCAAACAAAAACATAGTTCATCAATTCAAAGAACAAAGTAAAAATATGACATACGCAATGGAAACATTATCAAATTCCCATGTAGCCAACATTGGTCTAAAATGTTTTTATAGTTTTTATCGTTGAAGCAAGTCTTAAGTGGAAACATGCGTTTTTACCTGCAAAACAAAACAACTGAACTGACCTGCCATCTGTACCCGGTTGTTCGACTTCGGGCCTGATCCTGCTCGGTGGTCAAGGTGCCCTCGTAAGGACCGAGTCTTTGGCGCGCAGGTATGTCCTTCTCCGCCAAAACTCCTGGAATCAAATAAATACAAGCCTTCACCTCAACTAAATGGACACAACATGTACTGATACATGGGACATGAAATCATACAATACAAGCAACCATCACCAAATGATGCATCAAACGTCCAGCAGCAGTTGTTACGCATCGCCATTTGTCTTGCCTCATTAACTTACCGGTGCCAGACGCTGGATTTGTCGACTGACCAGAGCTGAGAGAAGGCGGGAGAGTCTTGACGTCCCTATCGACATCTCCGATACCGGGTCGTGCCTGGAATGTTCAGCACATGTGGGGCGCAATGTCGACAATACAATCCACGCATTGAGATTATCTTAAGCCTGTTTGTAAATCAGACGGGTATGTTTTGTGGATATAGATCATGAACCTGTTCTTGACCACGTACCCATGACAGTATTACCTGCTAACAAGACAGTAGCAAAGCAATAATATAACTATGAGAAAGAGGATTACGTAAATGTGAAAGAAATAGATCATTTTTACATGAAGCTCATGTCGTTCCATCACTAGGGCATCAGGCACAATTGGTCATATTATTTAATGTCTAAATGTGAGAGGAGTCATGTGTAAAGAATACGAATCAGACCAGTATGGACCAGTCCTTACCTTGGTATCGTGTATGATCTTTAGCGGTCCATGGACGGGACATTCACCGTCCCAATCGCGGCAGCACACGTCACAAACTGACAGAAAGAAGGGCGAAAAAATTATTAGCGATTTGATGAAGAGCAGACCAAGGTTTAAGCGTTCAAGGTTCCGTTAGACGGACACAATGCGTCTGTATTCGGTTTAATTTGTCTGCAATATGAAAGCTTATCGTGTACATTCGTCCGTTGATGAGGACAAGGTAGCTGACTAAAATCGAGAGAATACTCACATATGTTACTATCATCGAGACCGTCCACATCTCGGTAGTTAATGACGAGACGTTGACTCTTGATGAACACTCTTTCAGCAAAAACTGCAATAAATTCAACAGGGTAATAAATAATTCGGTGGCATTTCGGTAACGCGTCAGTTCAATAGAGTGCATGCAAATGAACATAAGAATGGTTCGATAATGTCATTCAATCACTTTGTAGAGTACGAAACCAAAAATAAAAATAAAACTTACATTTTCTCTGAAAAGGGCACAAAAGTAAGACCGAGGATATCACGATAAACCCATTGCTTACAGTCTCTTCACAGTTATATAAACTTACCTTTAGTAGAGTCTCGAATGGCAGACGAACAACCAAGTAACAGACTCCTTTTTGCATTGAAGATGAAACAGGCACTGAAAGAACAGACAAATGCAAATATTATTAGAATCCATCAAGGATAATATGTCATTGTCTACTATGTCAAATAACAACTAAAATTTCAACAACAGCACTGAATCATGCCCTAACCTGTCCCGGTCCACCTCAGTAAACCCGATAAAGTCCTCAGACGGTGACGGTGATCGAGGTCGGTACTTTTCCTCCTTCACTAAAGAATGCAGAGCGCGGTCCGAGAAAGGATCGTCGTCCGACACCGAGGGAGACGACGGCCGCTCAACCTAAACCGGATCAACAGACGAACAATATTCAATGAACATGAGATGTTTATCCTCCACAGATATACAAATTGGAACACATTATGCGCTGTCATTCCCTTTTATTAACCTCGCAGCTAAAAACCAATGAGAGGTGAGCACCAGGCATTTGAACACTTACCCTTGGTGAAGTGACTTCAATCTTTATCTCCTCCTTCACAACTGGCCGAAAGTCGCTCTCAGAGCCACTGTCTATGGGAGTAGAGTCCCTCAGCCTCTGAGACTTCCTCACACTCTGTGACGGACCCCATTCCCCATCGCTGTCAGTGGAGCCCTTCCGAGACCACTTTGGTCCTTCTGGTGACGTTGATGCAGCCCGCATGAGTGGCAGTAGTTCAGACACTGATGGATCTGGAATGGGATCCAACATCAGTTCACATTGAGTTGACTAGATGAAAGCACAAAACGGAGAATTTATGTAGCAAGAAAATACAAAGTTGCAGAGTTATCACCACCAATAATTGAATATCCCTTATGGAATTAATACCCATAAAACATCTCTCAATAATGACAATGACATGGTTTGCCAACAAGAATGCAGCAGGAAAATAATGGAGGTGCTCCTATACCTAGTCTTTAGATCCTGGCTTTATATGAAAAAAAAAACTGTTTGTATCCTCAAATGATCTCTGATGACCTTTCTAGAGAGCAGGCTAGCAGCAAAAGACACCATTGTTGTCACTAGTAGTCCAAATCATTGTGATTCTGAAATATTTTTACTGTTCCTCCTGACCTGGCAGGCTGACATGACCTCAACCTGGGGTCAAAAATTTCATATGTTGTCAAAAAATGATGCACTACAAGCTACTCCAAGCGGTGAGGCGCTTCACACCAGTTTTTTATTCACACGCAAAAAACTGGACAGGGTGGTAACAAATGCCCCCCCCCCCCACTGGGGCAAAGGTTAAAACCACGCGTATTTGCTATTAGAATTGTCTTGTGGCGACTTACATGATGGTACTTTCCATTTCCCACTGTTGAAGCTTCTTCCTTATCCATGGATGCCTAGACAAAATCATTGAGTCAGGTTTGAGGTTAGGTAAGGTCTGGTTATGTTTCTTTTTTAATATTTTGGAGACACCTACCTTATCATCATATCTGGATTTAGCATGTTAAAGGGACCCTCCCACCTTCAAAAAAGTTAATGAATTGGCATAAAAGTGATATCCCTTGGTTCTGAAAGATCAAAAAATAATATCTACCAATTTTCACCAAAAAATATTCACTGGTTTACAAGATATTAGGCTTTTACTTTTGCTTACTTTTTGGAATCTCTGCTGTTCCTAGCGACTATTTGAAAGTGCGGCCCTTGCTGCGCTTAAAACAGCATATACCGCAACGTGCTACCAAACGTTTTAGTAAAACATTTAAAATCGTTAGATCTCCACTGACATCACAAATTCTAAGGGGGCATTACAGTGCAGTAGCCCCTTAGAATCCGAAAACTGCAAGTTTGAAATTCCATAGGCATATCCGAATTAACGCATTTTTTGATGTTGTTGTGAGTGCCCAATCCGGGGTATAGGTATGTCAAGTTTAGGTCCTAACTACAATTGTGATGCTGTTGATACAAATATGAAACAAAAATTTTAGGTTTTAGGTTAGGTTAGGTTGTAGGTTTGTAGGTTTTAGGTTGTAGGTAGGTAGGTTTGTAGGTTAGGTTAGGTTAGGGTAGGTTTGTAGGTTGTAGGTTGGTAGGTTATAGGTATTAGGGTGTGTCATCAGTAACAGAACCAAATGCCGTAAAGAAATTCCTTGGCACTGAGACCTGCAAACACACGGCATAGCAACCGTTTTTGCAAAAAATTAAAATTCGTGCGGCGCCAGCCGTTCAAAGTTTTGGCGCCCGGCGTTGCAGTCTCCAATGCTGAGCGTCACCCAGCACTGCGAGTAACACCAAGTATTGCAGCAGGTAATAATGCAAAATAACTACCGCTGAAAATGATGCTTTTGAGCGCTTCTAAGGCTGATTGTTGCAAAAAGCATGTCATTAGAGTGTCCAATTACTGTTTTTATTGTGCTCAATGAATTAAATCGAGCATTGCTACTGAAACTAAAGAAAAAACTGCCCGATTTTGAGAAGCGGGCGGGGTGGAACTGGAGGCGGAGACGGGAAGTGACTCAGATTCGTCTTCTGAAAACACCGACTCCGTGGCATCCTCTGGGCGGTGCTTCTTCTTCTTCTTCTTCTTCTTCAGCATGTCATCTCGTGTGACCTGGCCCGTCTCCACCAGGAAGTCCCGGATGAGTCCAGCCTCGGTGGAAAGGATCTCCCTCAGCGTCGGCAAAGGGCCCCACGGGCGGGTCCGTGGCCCCTGCTATGGCCCCTGGGTAGTCGACCAACAGGTGTTTGGCCGAGTCCGGTTCGTCGCAACGGACTTTCTCGTCAGACTCGGCCGGACCGAGTCGGAATCGGGTGTCTCCGGTGAGTGGGGAGCAGCTCACGCGGAACTGTGCCACTGCGATCGACGCTCGGCGGTCCAGTTCTCTCTCCGTGGCCCAGAGCGCCACATCGTCCGCATTCGCAGATGTGTACCTCCAGTTCCCGAGCCGCAGTTATAGCCGGTCATACGAGCCTGCAGGGTTAGCGTCCGATGGCTGCGTTGGTCCTTCAGGAAGACAGCCTCCTGCTGAGTGACTCAGTGGGCGATGAGACGTGCACCTGCTCTGAGAGTTGCATTTGCATTTGGCGATATCCAGGAGTTGTTGAATTATGCAGTGGCGGCGCTTTGTTCCTTCCTGTGTCTCTGGTGGTTTGTTCAGAAGTCTGTAGGGCTGTCTGTAGGGCTTATAGCAGTCCCTTTTGATCACATTTTTTTTTTATAAATTTTGTCCGAACCTTTTGATGGGAAGGATTCACAAGGACAGAGCCACCGCTAAGCGAAGCTTGTTGCGGTGACCCTGCCCTCTACCCTCCGATCGCGCAATTCCGATTCTATGGCAGAATTTAGAGTCCAAAGTTTAACGTGCACACAAAGCCGCGCACGGCCGGTCCCCTCGCTGACTTCGCCTGGCTACGGCCTGCCACCAACCGCAACCATACCTGTCAGGAGTGAGGAGGCCCATAAATGTCAAGCGCCCGTCGCGCTTCGAACCCGGACTGTTATAACCGGGAACGCGTGCTCTCACCACGCGGAGTCCAACGCTCTAACCAACTGAGCTACGTTCGTCGTGTGTTTTACATAGATCGCGAACAGGGATTCCTTCATTAGTTCAGAGTTGCCTTGTCCTTTTTTTCGCCACGGCCCTAAATGCACTATTTGTTGGATTTCTTCTTTGAGCACTCAGCCACCTGACATAACTGAAGGCCTCTGCTTTAGTCAGCAGTCGCTGTTGGGACAAAAGTGCCGGCTGTCCTATCACGAAATGTTTTGTACGCGGCCGTGTCACTTTCGGCAGGGCCCTATGCTATCCGGATCATAATTCACGAGGCGAAAAAACGCAGCTGATTAGGAAATGCCCATACGACAATTATAGCACGACACAGGGAACCAGCAAAGCGCCGCCACTGCATAATTCAACAACTCCTGGATATCGCCAAATGCAAATGCAACTCTCAGAGCAGGTGCAAAAGTCTCATCGCCCACTGAGTCACTCAGCAGGAGGCTGTCTTCCTGAAGGACCAACGCAGCCATCGGACGCTAACCCTGCAGGCTCGTATGACCGGCTATAACTGCGGCTCGGGAACTGGAGGTACACATCTGCGAATGCGGACGATGTGGCGCTCTGGGCCACGGAGAGAGAACTGGACCGCCGAGCGTCGATCACAGTGGCACAGCTCCGCGTGAGCTGCTCCCCACTCACCGGAGACACCCGATTCCGACTCGGTCCGGCCGAGTCTGACGAGAAAGTCCGTTGCGACGAACCGGACTCGGCCAAACACCTGTTGGTCGACTACCCCGCCTACCAGGGGCCACGGACCCGCCCGTGGGGCCCTTTGCCGACGCTGAGGGAGATCCTTTCCTCCGAGGCTGGACTCATCCGGGCCTTCCTGGTGGAGACGGGCCAGGTCACACGAGATGACATGCTGAAGAAGAAGAAGAAGAAGAAGCACCGCCCAGAGGATGCCACGGAGTCGGTGTTTTCAGAAGACGAATCTGAGTCACTTGCCGTCTCCGCCTCCACCCCGCCCGCTTCTCAAAATCGGGCAGCTTCTTCTTTAGTTTCAGAAGCCATGCTCGATTTAATTCATTGAGCACAATAAAAAGAATAATTGGACACTCTAAGGACATGCTTTTTTGCAACAATCAGCCTTAGAAACGCTCAAAAGCATCATTTTCAGCGGTAGTTATTTTGCATTATTACCTCCTACAATACTTGGTGTTACTCGCAGTGCTGGGCGACGCTCAGCATTGGAGACTGCAACGCCGGGCGCCAAAACTTTGAACGGCTGGCGCCGCACGAATTTTAATTTTGGTGGACTCGGATATGGATGAAAATTCATTATTGATCAATGTGCCAAGGAAAAACCTTACGGCGTTTGATTCTGCAAGAATCACCCCCTCGATGACACACCCTAATAGGTATGTAGGTAAGGTTAGGTCAGGTTTGATTGTTTTTTTCTTTTATTTGCGAGACATATGAGTATCATTTTTGGATTCAGGATGTCAAATAATGTAAGAATATGAAAAATTTATCAATGAAGTCTTCTTAGGACTTAAACTTGACATTTACCCAAACCGGTACCTACTGAAGGCCATGGCCACCAATTTAGCTATCTCAACTCAAAACTAATGTTAAGGTGGGATGGTCACTTTAAAAATGGAAGAATACATATTACGTAAGTAGGCACTACTTACTTTTGAAAAGTGAGTCGATGCCATTATACCGAACTTACCATGCTGATCCATCTCAATCTCCAAATCAAGATCCCTCGTTTTCTGTGTGAGTCCGCTCAGAATGATAATTCTATAGATGGCCTTGATGAGAATAAGTTGAAGTCAAAGTTGAAGAGTTTTATACACAGCCTTGAGTTGATGTTGTTGTTGTTGTTGAAGAGTTAGGGGCCTTGAGTTGAGGTTGAGTCCAAGCGCGCATCACAACAACGCGCGCGCGGTCTCACGTGCTACTGCATCAAAACTGCGTCATGAATGTCGAAATCCAAGCAAGGCTATATAAACCAGGTAGAACGCTCCGGGAAAAAAGTTGGAAACAATAAATTAGTTGCGGCATTCCCTGATGACGCGAATGTGGGTCAGCGGCCGGCGGCCGGCGGCCGCTAACACTGTATGAGGATGAATGCACGGAACTTTTGCTTGTTGGAGATTGCGCTAGGCAGTTAAATGTTAATGTTAGGACATGTTTCGAAAGTAAATTGAACGACGCTTCGAACGCCGTCAATGAATTTGCGATAAGACGACTATTTGCTTAGTTAGAGCCGGCGAACTTTTACCTTCCGACCGCGCGGGGAGGCGATATGGTGCCACACTGACGGTTTTTACGACAGCTCAAAAGTCTTTTGAGCTAAAGAGCTGAAATTTGACATGTCCAATCTTTTGATCAAGCTGTATCTTCTGGTACAAGTCGCATATTTAAGGTACGTCAGGTTGTTGAGCTATCTTGTCGCTCGTGAGCCTCTACACAGTCCAAAAACAACGCAATTTCTGAACACTCAGTGCCAAGAAATCCTTCACAGAAAGATGACAGTTGGCGGAAAGAATGGCTGCCGGTTTCTTACCGTTCGTATGTATCGTGTTTTCACAAGAGTTTAGTAAGGTCAGGTCCCTCACGTCACCTCCCCTCATAACTCAATAGGACTAAGTTTACTATCATAGAAGCGTTTATCAATCGCCGGAAATCTTAGCCAATCCCACTGGACACTGGATCCATACCCACATGGGGCCCTCCTGACTGGCCACTCCCTCTGAAATCCACAATAACATTGGGCTGCGGCCATGGTTATGTATTAATGCTTTTCACTAACAGAAATACAACAACTTCAACCAGCACAATGCACGCCGCCACAACAGTCCGACCAACGTCCCTGATATCGACTAGCACTCGGCCGGATGCACATATGCGGAGCCAATCAGTCCGAATGTGACCTGCAGCTTACAATTGCTGTGTCGCATGGCACAGGACGATTCCTAGCAGCTGTCGGCTGGAGTGGAGAAACAGCACGTTGCGACACACCGCGCCGGCGACAGAGCTCAGCAGGGCTGGTTGGAGGCTGGAGCCGGAGGTAAGGGCGGACACTGGCACAGACATTGCAGGACAAATAACAGGATGTCAGTTAGGGATATAATTCAAGACGAATGATTCAAGACGGACTGAAATGATGCACATTTTGCTCACTTGGATACCAACTTCAAACTTGACGTTTATAGCACCACGGAAACAATGGCCACACAGGAAAGAAACAAAAGATGAGGTGTTTTCAACTCAAGGAAGTAAATAGAAGTTGCATATGATGGAACAGCCCGAAGTGCAGACAAGCACATATTTTGGTAATGGCTATCAGCTGTCCTACTCCTCTTCTCCCTTCATCAACTACTGGACACATCTGAAGCATCATCTAATATAGGTAGCACCAATGTCCATAACAAAAGCTTGAAAAGTGCCAGGGGAAATATGCCTACATCATGCATGACAAAGGAAGCTTATGTAAAGAGAAGAGTTGGCAAAAGCATTTCATAGTTAAAATTATTCAAAACTGCACACAGGGCAAACATAAAAAGCAGCAAGTGTGCTGTTCTGTTATGCTAAGACATAGTCCAAAACAAAATACATCTTTTCATGTTTGAACTGGTTGTTCTTCTATGCCACTTCATCCATATCTTGATTACAGATGGGCTGTTGCTGTAGGCTGATGAAGTGACACTTGATTGCCTTTGTGCGAGTTTCAGTTGCAGCCTCCTGGGTACTGCACTGGAAAGCAGATTGAATTGAATGCCCCTGAAAGATAGGAATAAAGGGCAAAGTTAGCTGTAGTAGTGTCAATGATAATAGACATTACATTTTTGTCCTTTGACATACCTTTGTTAAAGTACAAAAAGGTACAAAATAAATTGGTTTGTTTCAAGACACGCACACTGCACAAAGCCGCACAGACATTACACAGGGATATGACATTGGTACACATAAAACTTGATGATTAAAAAGGTCAAAACTCGCAATAATAATTGAAGTAAAAGTTACAATCACAATCATTTGATTTAAAATGACTTGACATAAGTCACAACTCACAAGACGCAACGCTCCTATTCACTTAAGAAAGGTTTTTATGCTTTCATTATCCTCCACATATCAACCAGCTTGATACCAGGCTGTGCAATAGTGTGTACCTACATAACCCCATGTTGCCATTTTATTAGAGCAAGTGGGGTTACAACAACAATGCTAGTGTCAAACCCACATCTGCAACCCATACTGCAGTTTGAATCACCTTACAAGCACACCTTCTGGCAGTTTGATAGGCAGAATGGTCATTACTACTTTCTCCTCATATTCAACACATATTCCCTTTATACAGATATAGTTTAGACCTGGTTATGGCAAGCATTTTCGAGAAAAGATATGATTAAAGTCCAAGACAAAGGTCGAGAGAAACAACACCAACATAAAACACCGACTATGTAGCACTAATACTGTCAAATTCATAAAAATATATACATGAGTCGATCAGAAATTCACTGTAGATTTCGAAAATGGTGTCAAATGCCACTCAAATGCCCCCATTCGCATGTACGAAGCAATAAAACACTGACCTTCAATTCCGCGTGCCATTCTCCATAGGCCACTGTGTATTAAATAACGCGTTCACCGATAGCAAAAAATGAGACCCACATATGACGCGTTTGCTACCAGCCAATCAGCGCCCGAGATGCCGAACGCTGATTGGTGGAGAGGGCCGTCGTCAGCAGTCCATTACACGTTGTTTTCTTTGAACATGTGCGTGAGCGCTGATGCTGCTCACGGGTTGTTGCCATTTTTCGTAATGCTGAAGGCACGGGAGCGAACCCCCCTGAATCCAAGGCTCAGGGTCATCGAAATCTATACGACCATCAGATAAGCAGCAGATTGATATTCGCAACCATCCAGCTAAGAAATTGATATTCGGGCGTGGAACGCAGTAACTCAGAAATCTATAAACTTAATTCAGACAGGTAGGCACTTATTTGATTTCCCGTTCCTCAAGGCCGGGGAACAGGATTTTCTGCTCGACTTTTAAATCAAGGACATGACCTAGTCAGGCGCGGATCCAGGGGGGGGCGACGGGGGCGGCCGCCCCCCCCCCCCCGCCATCCGAAAAAGGCGCCCATATCCCGCGGCAGAGAGGGCGCCCCGAGCAGAAGAGCGGCGACACAGCAAAGGTTCAGCAGAAATAGGGCGCCTCCAGCAGAAGTTGGGCTCACCAAGCAGGAGAGTGACGCCCAATTGCCTATTCCCAGCAGATGAGAGTCGCCCCAGCAGCAGATGGGCGCCCCCAGCAGACGAGGGCGTCTCGTTACAAGAATATAAAATACGTTCTGTTCAAGAGGGGCGCCCCTGGCAGCGGAAGGGCACCCTTAGCAGGAGACGTGTCCCCCTGAAGAGGAGCGACGCCCCAGCAAAAGGAGAGAGGCGCCCCCATTCCGAGAAGAGGGGCGCCCTGACAGTAGCTGGGCGTTCCAGCAAAAAAAGGAGTCCCATACTAAGAAAATGGGTGCCACTGGCAAAAGAGGGGCGCCCAGCAGAAGAGAGGGGTCTCCAGCAGGAGACGGGCGCCCCAAGCAGAAGAGGGGCGCCCCAGCAGAAGAGAGGCGCCACAGCAAAAGTTGATCAGAGATGGGGAGCCTCCAGCAGAGGTTGGGCCCGCCAAGCAGGATAGGGGCGCCCCATTGACAATATCCGGCAGAAGACAGACGCCCCAGCAGCAGATGGGCGCCCCCGGTAGAAGAGGGGCGCCCCATTACAAAAAGAAAAGGAGTATATTCTACCGAGAGGGGCGCCCCTGACGACAGCGGAAGGGCAACCCCAGCAGAGGGGCGGTGCCCACTGCCCCAGTAAAAGGAGAGGTGTGCCCCGTTCCGAGCAGCAGAGGGTCGCCTCGCCCCAGAAAAAAAAAAAACAGGAGCCCCGCAGTGGCTCCCCGCAGTGGAAGGGCGCCCCCACAAGAGTGGCGTCTCCAGCAAAAGAGAAGTGCCCCCTGCAAGAGACGGGCATCCCACCAAAAGTTGGGCAGAAGTGGAGCGCCTCCAGCAGAATTTGGGGTCGCCCAACAGGAGAGGGCTTCCTATTCACAGTAGAAAAAGACTCCTCAGCAGCAGAGGGGCGCCCTAACAGAAAAGGTGCACTCGTAGTAGAAGTGGGACGCATCAGGAAGAAGAGGGGCACTTCTAGCAGAAGATGGGCGTCCCAGATAAGTGGGCCGCCTACAGCAAATTGGTCGTTCTTAGAAGGAAGAAATGAGGCGACTTAAGCAAAGTGGGTCTCTCCATAATGGATTAGGCGATCCAAGCAGAGGTTGGGCGCCCCCGGGAAGTGAGGCATACCAGCATAAGTGAGACGCTTCCAGAAAAAGGAGGGGGCATCACCGGGAGAAGAAGGACTGCACCAGTAAATGGAGGCCACCTTTTTGCTAATATCTTTTGCTAGGGTAGCGGTGCCCATCTACGACTTTTAACCCGTGCCGTGCTGGTGGTCTGAGTTTTCCGTGTCCTGCTAGGGAGGGGGGGGGGGCAAACTCCCTCGTCTAACTCGGCTCCTGGGCCGCGTAGTGACACGCGATAAGCGGCATTCGAAAGATCGTCAAAAACAGGACGAAAACAAAACGGTCATTTTTTAAGTCAGGTCGAATGTCAGGTCACCAGAGGTAATCAAAGGTAAAATGTTGCCTATTTCAACATTTTTCCGTTTTCGAAGCAGCGGCACATAACTCGGAAACCAATAGAGCTATAGTGCCGAAGAAAAGCGCATTCGATAGCCCTTTTAAAGGTGTTTCTGCAAGCTGCGCTCAGATTTGACCTCAGGTCAACGGTTTAGCCTTCAGAGGGCAAAAGACTCTAAAAATAGCCTTTTTACGAACAATGTTTTCCTGCAATAACTTTTGACTCAAGAGAGTCTCGACATTACGTTTG